CCGACCCTGCAGCCCCCTCCCGTACCCCCCCCCTGCAGCCCCCTCCTGCACCTTCCATCCTGCATCCCCCCTCCCGCAGCCGCTGATGGCACAGGGGAAAGGACAAGGCAGGAGGAAGGAGATGAGCACTTGTGCCTTCTCTGCTGCCCCACAGCATGGAAAGCTTTGTGCAGGGAACCAAAACAGCTAAGATTTGCCCCTGTGCAGGGTTGAAAATGATTCAAAACAGGCTTGTTGTGGCACATGTTCCAGTGGACCTGAGGACAGAGAAGTCTCCAACACCAAGAGGTCAGCTCTGCCTCAGATTTGTCCTCTGTGGCTCTACTGTTGCACCAAAGGGATTTTGGAGAATCTGCCCTTTTGCAGTCAGCTCTGCCCGTGGAGGAGTGCTCAGGCAGGAGGGCTAGGTGCGTAAACGGGAAAGGAAAGTAGTCTAGCAAAGAGTTAGGTCTCTCATCTTTCTTCTTTTCTTGGTATCTGAGCCATCCCCTCGGGTGTTCAGAGAGTATCATCTCTTCTTTACAGCTGGGGGAAACTGAGGCACAGAAGAGCACGATGCAGTCATATCCCCCACTTCACTCTTCATGGACTGAAACCCTCTGGCATACCCATGTGGTGCCCAGGGCTGCCCCAGGAAAGGTTTAGCAACCTTGCTGAAGTCAAAACCCTCCCCCCAGCTCTTTCCAACCCCACCAGGAATACAGCACATCGGGGCATGGCGAAGAGCCGGGGAGGGAGCTGAAATATTTCTTGCTTCATCCTGCTCCCATGCATGCTTCCTTGTTCTTTCTTTCATCTATTCCTCCAAAAGAAAGGAGTACACTTGCAGGGTTTGTTTTGATTGGTGTTTATGGACGAACTCTACCACTAATTGTAAGTGGAGTAATTAGATGTTTTCTTTATTCTGTCTCCATTGGGGCCTGGCAAAGGATCTGACAAACCCTATACCTGCACTCAAGAAACATACACCAAGGGCAGAGCTTTTACAGTCTTCTCATTTACCCTCATCTCTGCACTCATTCAGGAGGGGCAATTGTGTGAGTGTGTGTCTTTCCAGCTGCAACAGATTTATTTAATCACATGTGTGTGGCTCAATGAAGTGCACCTGGAAAGCAGTGAGTGGTTCAGGAGACATCACTCTCATTAAAGTCAGTGGGAAGGGGAGAGCTGGAGTGTCTGTTCTCCCTGCCTCAAACACAAGAGGGACACAAGTGTGCCTGCAGCAAAACCTCATTTATATATTTTAGGTAATACTCACAAATTTGAATTCTGAGGGTTGTTTTTTTCCCTGTTTCTTTTTAATTGCTTTTGATTAATTTGTTCTTAGCCACAGCCAGTGTCAGCTGGGAGTGTCTTTCTTCTATAGAGTGTTTACCTGTATAATGGGTTTACCTATATAAACAGTTAATGTATCTGCAGCAATGTGTAGGTGCAAGTAATAACTGTGTGTGAGTGCATGTGTATGCATGCTGTCTTTATCAAGTGTGTTAGATTGTTTGAAAATACATTTTCTTCTTACAAATCATGTTAGGGATGAAGAACAGTGGCTCCAATTCTCCTTTTTTACACCCACTATGAGCATGCATATTCTTGTCAAAGGCAGGTAATCCTGCCCACAGCTGGGATTTAGAGCAAGAAGCTCTAAATCGTCACTTGAGGCATGTGTCCTGATGTGGAGTCGGTGTGTCTCCTTTCAGACCAACCTCACTCATGCTCTTCAAAGGCCCAGAGCTGTTTTCCTTCTTCTGATCTTTTTTGTTGCTTGCCCTTGATCATGAGCCAAGCAGGAAAGGCTGGAGCCCCACGTCAGAGGTCGGACACATGGCATTTCCTCATGAGAAGTGCCAGAAATGTTCTCCTCCATCGAAAGGTTGTTGACAGCATTCCAGCTCAGAGGTCTGGATCCCACTGGCCCCACCAGGCACAGGCTCCCAGGCTGCATTGCACTGCTTGACCTCCTTCTGCCCTGCCTGAGGATGTCCCAGCCTCCAGCTTCAGCAGCCAGCTGGGCTGTGGCCTCTGTCCATACCCCAGAGTAGTCAGTAATCAGTGCACCATCATTTAATAAGCAAAGAAGCAATTTAACTCCCTCAGGACAGGTCTTTCTTAAGCACACCAGCCCTGCAGCTTTGTCTGGTGCTCAGAAAAACCAGAGCACCCACACAGGTTTTTGGGAGCAGTAGGCTTTTAAAGACATTTGGATAATCTTTTGAGAGAGCCTTTAAAATCCAGTCCAGTGAACTCCAAAGTGGGTAATGAGCTAATCTGGATGTTCAGCACTGGGGCAAACAGAAACTTCATGCCTTAAAATCAAGCTCCATGCTGACTTTTGTTCCTCAGAAACTGACTCTCTGTGCTTTTTTGTTTCATGCAGGCTTCCAGTTTCTTCTTCCTGGGTCACCTGCTGGATGGTAAGTGGTTCCCATTTCTTCATTTTAACTTCTGCATGCAAAACTGAAAGGCTGCTGACCTGGTCCATCAAGAGCCTTTGCTAGTACCCAGTGCTGGATTTGAGTAACTTCATGCACAGATTTGTTCAGCTTAAAATAAGGCCTGTGATCAACTAGAAACTCTGTTTGACTTTGGATGTGTAATACAGTGAGCACTTTCAGACTTTCACACATGTTTCCTGTCAGTACAGGAGTCAGCACTGCACCAGGATCCAGCCAGAACCAGTTTGGCACATGGGACCCCCCAAAAAATGGGCAGCAGTGGGACCAATTTGCAAGTGATCACAGGGTTCTCCTTGACTGCATATGCAACTTCATCTTAGTTCCAAGTCAGGACTTTTCTGCCACTCTGTGGCCTGTTGTGCTCAACACATCTTTGGGCATCCATGGGTGACACAGTGAGTCACAGGCTGGAGGAAAAGTCATGGTGCTGGGATGCAAACCTGGCAAAAGGAGAAGCAAAGAGCCTCTCTGTGCATGCAGATTGAAGGGCAAATAAATGCAGGCTAACTTTCCCTTGCAGCACTAAATTAACTGTGGAACTTATTTCTGCAAGGTTTTCTCTGAAGTGTAAAAAGGTTTCAGAAGTGTTTACAAGCTCATGCAAGTAAAAAATGATTGAAGGTGACATAGTATTAAGATGTTGATAAGAGAAAAGCTGTGATGAATGTTGTGTGAGGCTCTGTAGATATTGTGTGAGGATTTGTACAAGCTTTTGCAGCCCACTTGGACTCTGTAGAGAATTATGCTTTTATTGCTTAGTTTAGTATTTTTGCATGTAAAACCCAAGCTTCCTTTTCTTGATTGCAGTGGCTCTTAGATCTGAATTTATAATTTATAGCTAACAAAGTGTGACATTAATTTTTCTCCTTTTCCTGCAAAAAATACTGTGGCTTTTACTATGCACTCATTGTTAAGCCATGTTCCAGGTAATTCCAGTGCCGTTTGGCTGTCAGGTCAAACCTGCAAGTCCATCAGCCTTGTAGCTCATTCAGCACTGCTTCTTGCCCAAGTCAGTGTTGCTCTTCTAAGAAGATGTGTGTGGGAAACAAATATCCAAACATTTGTGCACCTAAGCTCAGTATTTATCTTCTGCAAGTATTTGGCCACAGAGACATGTAGCTGGTTTTGGACTTTATGCACAAATGTTGTGCAAAACAGCTGACTTGCTTTTCAGTGATGGACCTTTCACAATTTCTTAATTAATTTCTTTATGCTTTCTGGTCCTTACCTCTGTTCCTCCACTGTCTGTGCAATCATAATCTGCTTTCACCTAGCACTCATCCCTCAGAGGACAAGGTGCTGTAAAACTGCTTTTAAGTAACAGCCACAAAAACTGTTTGAAAGGCTTGGTGGCTTTGTTGTTAGCTGCTCTCACTTCTTTCTCAATTTTCTTCTGAAGCTGCAGCTACTTCCAGCCACAGCCTGCACGGAGGAAATACCATGAGGTCTCATCTCTGCAGAATTAAACTGGGGGCATCTCATTATTTAAAATGCAGTCAGGATTTCAGCCTCATAAAAACAACACTACATTATTCTCCGAGCTGGAGACAAAAAGTATTTAGAAAGGTGGCAGGAAAACTTATCCTGCTTGAATTAGGCCAGATTTCAGTCAATCCCCAGAGGTTCAGAGAGCTGGAATAAATGCTGGGTACTTTCTGGTGCTCTTGATGTGTGTTGGCAATAGGCTTTAACATTGCACATCATTCATCTTGACAACTGCAGTCCAACAAAGTTACCTTGCAATTCAGGTCACTCAATGGCATCCTAATGCATCACTTTCCCACTCAGAACATTAGTCATGACTTGATCCAGAGAAGGTTTTGAAAACAGTGTGACTGCCAGCGTCGAGATGTCTGTTCTCTCCATAGCAGAGAGCCTGTGTAAGCTAATGAACAAGGGCATATTGATCAGAAATCCATCACTTGATTGGCAGCTCTTGACAATGTGAAAAACTGCAGATGAAAGTTTGAGCAGTTTAAAAGATCACCCAGACCTCAAAGCTGATTTGGAGCTTTAAAAGTCAATCTCTGCCTATCAATTATGGGGGGATTTTTTTTGTACTACACATAGGAAAGTTGTTCTTTGAAAATTTGCATGCAGGATGTCTAATTTAACTTCATGTAATAGTCACATTCAGTGACAAATGTCAGATCACTGCTTTTTTTAGGCATGTTAAGTTTTTCAGCACTTAGAAAGAATGAACACTCTAATTTAGTAATAATTTAAAACAAACAGTGTATCAGACTTTGTGCAATAATTATGTGCTCAGATTAAAAAAAAAAAAAAAAAAGTGTTGTTTTTGCTTTACCAAACCTATGGCTTGTTATGAATAATTAAAAAATTTGAATGGGAGCACTTCTTAAATAAGAGATGTAGAACCCAAATAGTTTTTTAGTGTAGAAGCAATGAGAAATAAGACATCTTTTAGTTTGATGTCATGTACCCAAATCAGGGTCTTCTGTTTATTATTTTCTGCTGCTTTGTGTGGCAGGGGGGTACATGGAGTAGCTGGGAGATGGGAGGCATCACTCACAAGACCCAAAGAAGCCATTTCTTTTTTCAGTTTTATAAGGAGGGATGGTGATGAAGCAAGCAGGGACACTGGTGATTTCTCAGATCAGCTGTAATCTCACATCACTTTGACTAGTCTCCTGGCCAGGCAGCTCAGCTTCCCAACTCCCACTATTCACATGGGAGGTGGGCAGGGTAGCCAAAAAGGTTAGTGATATTTTCTGAGCCCTTTTCTCATGCACCCTGAACTCCATGGCATAGTCGTAAATTTTTACTTAGTAGTAATTGCCAGCCCATGAGGGGCTTGCTCAGTGCCACGTGCTCAACCTCAGCCATGGTCACCTGCTGCCAGGTACAAATCTGGCCTCAGGTGTGCATTAGCCTGTCCCAAAACCTGCCCAGGGGTCACCAGCCGTGTTGGTGCAATCAGGGGGTTTGGCTCCTCAACCTCATAGAGCTTCCAGAAGGAGAAGTCCTGCAAAATGGAATTGCATCTTGGCCAACTGAGTTTTACAGTAGAAATGCATTTTAAATAGTTCTTAATGGGTTAGCAAGTAATTTCATAGATGTTGTTAAAAAGGGATTAATCCATTGGCAGGAAATAATGCCAGTGTAACAAAATGAAGTGACAGTACTGTCATTTTTTAACACTGAGCAGTTGGTTTAAAAATCACGGTAGACATTTCTATAACCATTTAGTTGCTTGAGCTCACTTGGAGCATTTGTTTTTTCTGTCTCTACTCAGGAGAGCCTTCACCAGCCTCTGTAAAGCAGGCTGGGCATGTCTGCAGGATGCTTTTGGCAGCCATAACTCCCCTGTTCAACCTTTATAACTTTTAACAGGTATATTTTTCCATAAAAAGGCTGCCCCAGCCCTCAGAATACTCTTTAAAGCATCGGTGGAATAAAAGCCAACATTCCCCACTAAGATTTTGAAAACAAACAGGGGGAAAAAAATCAGACTCCTTCAGACAATTCCTTCAAACTCAAATCCTCTTGCAAAATTCTCCCTTCCAACAAAGTGAGCTTGCAGGCTGCATTTCAGGCAAAACCCTCTTTTTTTGTTTTCCTTTCTTAACTACATCACATTAAATTTAATTTTGTTCACTGTAGACAATGTCCTTATCTTCCAGTGAGATCCTTCTGTTCCTCAGCAAGGCACACACTTCTGCAACACTTGCACACTGTCGAGACTCAGCTCCTGTGGAAATAATGAGCTGAGGAAAAGGAGTCTTGACTTGACATAGCAATAAATGAGGTGAAACTTTCCTCCTTTTTGGTGAGAAGCGAGAGTTGGCATGTAGGAAAAAAAAAAAAATAGAAGAAGAAAAAAAGACAGTTCTATTTTAAGATGGAATATAAAACACTCATCATACAAAAGTGGAATTTTTTTATTATTTTTTTTTTTCCCCAGAAACAAAGAAAGAATAAAGATAAAGGCTGCAAGTGAATGAATGAGGAGAGAAAACTAAGATAATACAGTCGATAATCAGTTCAAGGCAGAGCTTTATCCATGGGGCCATCGGCCCGGCCCTGGGGGAGAGCTTTTTAAAATGTGTCTGTAGGCTGCTTAGCTTTGCTCATTACCACAGCTTGTCTTTGCCTCCCCAGCAGCAGCCCTACCTGTGCGGGAGCTGCCAGGAGCCGCGGGTCCTGCCGGCACCGCCTGGTGCGGGATCTGCTGGAGCAAGGACAGACTTCCCAGCTCTTGTCTGCTGCTCTGACCCTTGCTCCCTCACAGGAGTTTCATGGACTGAGAGCCTCAGAGGGGTGCAGGTGTCTCATGCCCTGGCTCCCCTACCATTTCCATGGAAATGCGTTTCTGTGTCCCCTCAGCTTTGCCCCCTGCTGCAGCAGAGTGATGCCCACCTTCACGGCAGCTGGGCTAAGGAAACCCCTTCCTGTAGGAATCTACATCCCCTTTCTTCACTGTGCTGGCAACAGCCATCAGTATCTCCCCTGGCTCTGGTGTCTGTGCCTGTGGAGCCCCCACCGTGTCCCTGCAGGGATGTCCTGCCTGTCACTGCAGGAGCTGGCAGAGCAGCCAGGGCCCTGGTGCCCTTTGGGACCAGCAGTGAGGGCAGAGCTGGGACCAGCCACTCTCAGGGGTGGCTGTGATGGGAGCTGCGTCAGCTCTGCCCACACCAAGGATGAGCTGAGCAGCACCTTTGGCCCTCCAGATGATGGCAGCTTTAGATTCACTGACATCCCAAAACTGCTGAAGGAGAAGAAGGCTGCCCATCCCAGGGAATAACTTATTTCTTATCTTTTCTTCTTCTAACAGTTTTAATTCCTTTTCTCTTCCACCTTCTTCTCACCTCTCCCTGCAGATGAGGCTGATGAATATGAGTACTATGATGAGCTCCCACAGCTGGAGCAGGACCCCTCCCTCCAGCAGCAGACCTCAGAGGACCCTGACTGGTTTGAGGAGTATTTTGGCTACAGTGATACCAGAAAAGGTACCTCCAAGAGGTGGGAAGGGGGGCAAGGAAGGGGTGAAATCCCAACCCAGCGCTGGCAGTGTGAGTGTGGCAGGCCTGGGCTGCCAGTCTGCTCTCGAAATGCCTTCATCAAAGGGATGAGTTAGGAGGATTGTTTGCAGTGTTCTCCTTTGTATTTCTCTTGTAAGGAGCCTGTGTTTTATCTCCAGGTTTCACAGGATGGATTCTGATCATGCAGAACATTTCTGATTGCTACTACAAAAAAGCACAGGCTTATTTGTCTATAGACATTGTAAGATATAATTGCTGTTTTCATGGGATATATGTTCTGTATTTATGCTGGAAACTGAATATAGAGCAGGTTTCCTTTTTTTGTTGTTTCATGTTTCCTTTTTTTTTTTCCCCCTCAGTTGCAGGGTTTTTTCTTTTCCTGTTTTCCTAAACTTCTGGAGAGCAGGAAAGGGTTCCTGAGATTGCTCAGGGGCACACAATAGGAGAGACAATGAAGTTGCCTATAATATCCCCTGGCTTATCCTCTGGTACAAAGAAAGCAGAGCTGCCATGTGATGGTCCCCAACACCAGCTTCTGCCAGCAGCCTGGAGTGAAGAGTCTGAATGTGGTGCAAGGAGTAGCACTCAAGGGACTTTCAGAAGGCTTCTGCTCCCTTGCAACAACAGCTACCCAGGGTACAGTGTGATGGTGGCAGGTGGCTTGTCCAGGGGACCTTTACTGCCATGTTGCAAGCATGACAGTGCCAGATCCAGGCCCTTCCATGCAAAGTGCATGAAGGCAGCTGCCCAGGGCCAGCTCTGGCTCTTAAGACACTTGTTTCTGCTACTGCCATAGGGGCAAATCTAGCCCTAAGCAAATGAAAGGACTTGCCCAGCTACACCTCTATTGTAGACATGGCAAAGGGAGCTGAGGAGCTCCAGACCCAAAGCCACAAGCTGTCCCTGCAGCAATTCATACCTGCTCTAGTGGCCAATGAGCTAATGGGATACATGTTACACGGGACGCTGTAGCCAGGCAGGCAGCTCTCTGTAGGAAGAAAAAGTGAGAAGAAAAAACAGGTGATGGAGGTGGAAAAGCTGAAAGCTAACCTAAAGATCTCAATCCTTACCCTAGCAGACCCATGCTCCTCCAACCCCTGCAGGAACAATGGTAGGTGTGAAAACAGAGGAAGAACCTTCAGCTGTCTCTGCCCCAAGCCTTATGCCGGGACTACGTGTGAGAAAGGTAATTGCCCTTCTACTTACTTACACTCCTTATTTAGGCAATCAGTGTTACAGGTCTGTCAATGGAAACAAACACAGGGCTTTATAAATCCCCTGTTTGCTGGCGTGAGGGTTTTGACAGCCCATCACAGTCATATTCATAGGTCTCACACTTAGCTCCTTGTCCAGACCAAAGGCTGTCTAAAGTGGCATCCAGTAAAAGAGACTTTAGGAGTGCAGAAAGCACTCCTGTATCTCCTGCCAGGAGGGCAGCAGCGAGCTGCTTGTTAGTCCTGCAGATTTATTTCCATAGATAATGTAAAGAAGGAGGGAATTCCCAAGTCACGCCGGACAGATGAAAGCTTCCTCAGAATGTGAAGAGTGTGCCTGTCTTCCCATGATCCCTGCAAGGGCACAGCTCTTGTGCACACATGAACACTGATAAGGTACCTCATGTCTCTGTTTTCCACAGTGAAGGACATGTGTTTGGAGAAGAGGTGCCACAGGGGAGACTGCCTGATTACATTAACCCCACCTTATTCTCAGTGCAGCTGCAACCATCCCTACAAGACACCCGACTGCCAAAAAGGTGAGCACAGCCCCATGAGAAAAGGTTCCTGCTTAGTGGGGCACTGAGTGAATTGCAGTGGGGATGGCAAGACCATGTCACCTTACCACAGGTGGTCAGCAGTGGGATGTCATGTGCAGCCAGCCACAGAGGATGGCCCTGCCTTAGTCATCCAGCCTGAGTCTGTTGTGGTCACATCTGTTGGGCTGGTCAGTGAGGAGTTATGCTTGATTTACAGGGTGGTGGTTCACTCCCTGGTGAAACCTCTAGTATTAAGTGTTTTTCAAAAGTTCATAAGAACTTGAGGTCACCAGGCTAAGTGGGAGCTCTTCCCTGTTTCCCTCAAACATGATAGTGGCTGTATAGAGTCCAGCAGAGTCACAAGGTTGTTCTGTGTTTTCTGTGTTCATAGCATCCTCCCCGTGCAGACCAAACCCTTGCAAAAACGGAGGTACCTGCATACGGCACAGAGTCAGATCGAAATTCACCTGCGAGTGCCCCGAACCTTTCACAGGGAGATTCTGTGAGATTGGTACGTCCCAGATCCAGGGGAGAGGGAAGGGGTGAGGCTTCCAGACATCCAAGGGCTGGCTTCACCCTGCAGTCAGACCAATTGATACCATCAAGTACCTGACTGCAGCCAGGGCACCAGCCTTTTTGGAGATAATGTGGGAGGAAGAGGCTGACTTCTGCAGCCACCATCAGCAAAAGGGCTCAAAACCATTCCCACAGCAATGTTATCTAAGTGTGCTTCAACAAGGTCCCTCTGATACATAATGAGTGAGTACATGTGTCCCACCAGTTTCACGTGTCCTATGAAGAAGGAACATCAGGTTTTCCATCAATACACAAAAACTAATGTAGTGAAGAGTCATCTCCGGTTCCTTGTGGCTCCCCAGGCTGCGGGACAACCACTGACACATGAATGGGTGGCCAAGGGCATGGGATTACCCCAGCCTGTGTGGAGAGCCTCTGCAGCATCACCATGGGCAGCACACCCCAACACGTTTCCAAGGAGAAGGGTTTGTTTCTTTCTCTTCTAATAGTTGATTGCTCTTCAAACTCCGTGTACCACCATCTGTTCCACATTGCAAGCGATTTTTTCCTCCACTTTGCCTACAGGTGAGGTTCACAACCCACAACCTCCCTTTTGGCACATCCATTGCCCTACCACAATAGCAGCTCTGTGCCCACTTCTGCTTAATCCTGCTGATTCCATTTCTTGCCCAGACCACTGACAGAGAGATTCTGCTTTGGCATTAAGACACCTCTTATCCATTAGGTCTTTACCATGCAAAGAGGTTTCAGGTCTTTGAAGTCAATCAAGCTTCCTGTTGGACAGATGTTGGGACATTACTCTTTTTTCTGGCCTAAGTAGGTTAAGGGATATCATTACATGACCCAGTAGGTCATTCTGATTCTCCATAAAATGAGCATAAGCAAGGAAGGGAAGGAAGGGGGCAAGGAACAGCACAAAAGCCATTTTCATATCAGCATTGTCTTCCTGTAGGACTGGATGATTGTTATGAAGAAGACTCCTCTATGTACAGAGGAAGAGTGAACCAAGCAGCAAATGGCAAGACCTGCCTGCACTGGAATTCCCACATTCTCTTGAACTACCCTATTAATGCCTTTATGGAGGATGCTGACTCTTATGGCATTGGTGAACATAATTTCTGCAGGTAATATTTTGAAGAAGCAACAGTAGAGCTCTATATCAAAGAAAGCACCAAGGACAAACTTCTCACAAGTTTGTTAAACTGATGGTATTAAGATCCCACAACTTTCTAGGCACTGCCTGTCTTTAAAATACCAGGGTGTTAAAGATGGATTCCCTAGGACAAAGTTCTGATGTGAGGCTCTCAGCCCTCATTTCCTTGAATCAGCCCCTCATTTTCCTCAGGGTTAAGATAGTGATGGGGATAGTAAAATGGTAGAATCCCCACTCCCTTATCTCAGGCGTGTTCTTTGTCAGATCTTATGAAAGAATGTCTTTGGAAATTTGGCTCTCATATGGGAGCATGAGGCTGCTTTCCAATGCTCATTTTCATCCTCAGCTCCTTTGCTGGTTTCAAGGAGATTTCCTCGTTCCTGTTGGCTGATGTTGTCAACTGTCCCCTTCAGGAATCCTGATGAGGATGAAAAACCCTGGTGCTACATCAGAAAAGATCACAAAGTGGAATGGGACTTCTGTGATGTTTCAGCCTGCTCAAGAACAGGTAAGGAATTAGAAGTGAGCTATTTCGCAGCGTGGAGGTGGTCCAGAGCAGCAGGTACCTGCTGTTATTTAACTCCTCCAGTCTGATATTATCCCTGCATTATACATCTGCTGTCTCTTCCAATACAGCTGAAGAGAGCTCGTGGCCAACAGACAGCCCAACAGATGTATTCACAACATGTGGACAGCCTGAAGTTCAAAGGACACTCAAGAGGATCTATGGTGGAGCTAAGACTACAGCTGGCAAACATCCCTGGATGGCATCTCTGCAGATGAAGACTTCCAAGAGGAGCACACATTTCTGTGGTGGAGTGCTAATTAAAGCATGCTGGGTTCTTACTGCTGCACACTGCATTGAGTAGGTGCCTGTCCTCTGCCTAGGGTAGATAAACATATAAAAATCAGGATATTTTCTAAAGGCAGTTTAGAATCCATTTTTTTTGCAATCCAAACAATTGCTGGGAATCAAATTGAAAGGCAATGTGAAAAAAATGAACATGAAGATATACTTAAAATTGGTAATTCCTAGAATGACAAATTAAATTTATCCCCTACTTACCAAAAATGAGCTGAAATCTTTGTGTGACTTGCAACAAAGTTTTGTAATGTGCAAAAGGAGGACTCCATAAAAAACAGAGGGGATATTGGGATACCAAAAGCAACATCACATATTGCATCATAATAAGCTCTCTAGAACAGCCAAAATATGCTTTTCATTTTCAATTGTTTATGTGCCAGCTAGCCTAGAATATGACATTTCCTTCAACATTTTTGTTGAACAGGTTGGAAACCAGTATCCTTGGAAATTGGAAATTAGTAAATTACACACTGGAGGGCATTCCAGCATGATTTTAAGTGTGCCCAGACAACAGCAAGCAATTGTACTCCCATTGCTCACTATCTCAGCCACAGTACTAGACTGGGTACACACTGCTACTGTGCACCAAAATGCAAACTGTATTCATGAAGCTTTAAATCATTATATTTTATGACCACAATGAGTTAAGAGCACATGTCCAACACCACCACTTCTCAGCTAAGCCCTCCTATAATGATCCTAGGAAATCTTCTGGCCAGGCTCTACAAGAGGAAACAATATCTTCACTTCCTGAGACTTTCACCACCACTGATAGACAATGTGTGCATGAAATTTGCTTTTTTTTTTTTTTCCCAGAGAACCAGCAGAAAATCTCCAAGTAGCCCTTGGAAAGCAAGATCTCCAGAGGAGAGAGCGTCAAGAGCAAATATTTGATGTGGAGAAGATTATCGTACATCACAAATACAGAGAGAAGGATGGTGTCCCACACAATGATATTGGTAAATCCCTTTTATTCATGTGGTTCATCTCCAGCCTCAGTTGTTTGAAGCATCTCTCTCCAACTGAAGTCAATGTAAAATTCCTTTTAGAGATATATTCTGGAAATAATTAGGTCAAACTGTAGATTATACACATTTGGATCTTTGGGATGTGAATTGTGATGGACAGGCAGAAGTCACTGGCAGGGGGAGGTAAAAAAAAACTGGGAGCAGGTCCTGCATGTAGTGGAAATAGCACTTCAGGTATGCACAGCTTTGCAGAGGGTTGGATCACAGACTGATACTGGTGCCTGGGGACTAAAATCAGCCACTAATACTTTCTGTTCTTAATCCTCTCTCCAGCACTACTTAAATTGAAGCCAGTTGATGGTCACTGTGCAGTGGAAACAAAGTTTGTGAAAACAGCATGTCTGCCTAACTTCTCCTTTCCTGGTGGGACTGACTGCTTCATTTCTGGATGGGGCATGACTGAGTCAGGTATTTATGGGCTGGGTGGGTTTTGGTGGGTCTTTCCTTGGCAAGGTAGGCTGGTACTTTCAGCAGTAATTACCAGATCCATATGTGGACATAGGCATTTAGTGAAACCATGACATGGAATGCAATACTAAGGGTGGCTAAACCCTGCCATGGAAATTAATCATTAGCAGAAATCTCCAACTGCTTGGCCAACCAAACCCTTCAGAGTTCTGAAAAAAATCCCTGACGTTTTTTGTTGGGTTTTTTTGCTTGCCATCTGACTCACCATGTCATGGTTTCATCTGAAGTCAGAGATAGAAGCAAGAAGGTATCAAGAAAAAGGCTATTGTATAGTTGATGTGTTTCAGGACAGACTGGAACTTTCACACGGTTTTCCAGCCCATTGGGTCAGATGAAGGTTTTCAGAAGCAGCATCTGGATCTTTCGATGCACTGAAAAATAAAAAATCCAAAGCCTTTCAAGTTCAACCAGCTCTGTCCAAAACCTTTCTTGCCTGTAGTAAATCCTAAGGGGAGAAATTACTATGCTTAAAAAAAAGATAATGGCAATTTTCTGAAAAATGCATTTTCTCATGTTCTGATTGATGTGTTGCTGTAAAGCAGAGGAAGGAAAATGTGTCATTGAGGCTGCAGTAGGTGTCCTAGTGCTTTGTGACTGATACAGCCTCATGCGATACATAGGACCAAATTTTCCCTTCTGATGTAATTCTCCTTGAAGTCCACAAGAGACAAGTGTGTTCATTTGATCAGAATGCACCAACAGAATTAAACGGACGTTTTTAAAAGTCCCAAATAAAAAGTCTCTCTTAAAAAGGGTATGGGGAAATTTTTCTCTTTCCCCAAGAAAGAATATCAAGTACCCTGTACGTGTTCAAACTAGATGGCTCCTTCTTTGAGCAGAGCTATTATTAGCATTTCAGGAAATCACTGCAGAAATGGAATATTTCCTGAAACTCAAGCAGAACCAAACTTATAAACCACCTTTAATTATCTACAGATGTAGTGCTTTGAAATTCTGGCTATTGCCTTTAGATGTCAAGTTATGTCTTTAGATTCACTGTAATTAATCATTGCTCTTAAATATTGTATGATTTTCAGTTTTCATCTGTTTCATTAGCTTGCCAGTTAAAACATCTAATGGCACCAGACCGAGAAGTGCTGAGCAGCTCCAAGTCCCACTGGGATCCATGGGAGCTGCTGACATCCAGCACCTTTGAGAAGCAGGATTACACGGGTAGAGCCAAGCGGAGACAAATTCTGAACACTTGGCTTTGCTTTTATTCAGGCAACAACTTGGTGTCCTGAGTGAAGCTTCCGGGCTCCAACTCTAACCCTTATCATTCCAGACAGATACTTCTTTTCTTCCTAGGCTAGCCCAAGCATTCCCCTGATCTTTCCCCTTCCCATCCAAATGGCAAAGAAGCTTGTATTCTGAACAAAGACATGTTACAGGATTGGGAGGAAAGTGACTCCATTTTTTTTTTGGTTCACATCCCATAGATGACCTATCCCGTGGCCTGTTAGATGCCAGTGTCAAGCTGATTTCTCAGAAGACATGCAGTGCTCCCAGAGCATATGAACACATGCTGGACAACAGTATGTTTTGTGCAGGAAGTCTTCAGAGACCCAGAGCTGATTCTTGTCAGGTTTGTTGCTTTTTTGGTATTTGAATGATAATTTTTTTTGTGTGTGTAAATAGTTGGGCTGTGCAGAGTAATAACTTTGGCAGGGGGCTGCACATGTACCTGTTGGTTTCTCCCATTGGTGCATTTCAGCAGCCACTACCTCTCTTAATACTGTTTGAGATGTGTATCCCTAGAGCTAATGTTGTTACTGTCAGCCACAGGCAGATCTGTGGAAGGTAGACACCAGCCTGGCAAGTTTGGCTTCTGAAGTGGTTTGTCACAATAGCCTGAAAACTTGTCTTTTATTCTCTCAATTTTATTATGGCTTCTGCTATTTAGAGGGATGTAGGAGAGACCAAGAGTTTTCCTTCATCCCAAGGATCATATCTTTATCTTTCTGACCTGGTTCCAGAACTGCAAGCCTACTCAGGCCCTGAGCAGCATTTGATGATACACCGGATAGGAGAAAACCATCATTACAGCTTTAAAGTCTTATGATGGGAGAGGAGAATTCTTATTTTGGTTAAAGTTTTACTTCATACTTTGAACATGTGTGATTTTTCTCATCAGGGAGACTCTGGAGGCCCACTAACTTGTGTAGAAAATGGTTCCTTTTACGTGTATGGCCTTGTGAGCTGGGGTGATGGGTGTGGGTTAAGCAAGCCAGGAGTTTATACCCAGGTGACAACATTCATCAGTTGGATTGAATCTAAAATTCGATCTGAGTCAAGATCACTTCATTAGGATGCAGCTTTGGAACAACAAATGGTAAGTCTGAGATACTTGCTTCTTTCTATCATTTCCCAAAATACCTCCTCTTAACCAAAAATGTTATTGATATTTCCTCCTGGCCTACAAGTGTTGTCTTTCATAATCATTTTGAAAACAGCCTTAGAGCTATTTTGCAAGCCTGTTTTCATCCTAGCCTTAGAGGCTAGGATGCCAGGGACAGTTTTCCTGTTGGGGGCCTTGAAAAAAGGCCACATTTTGTAGGCAAAACAGATCAGAAGGCAAAGCAATTACAGTTCTTCCCCAAATCAATCAGAGCCACAGTTGCCAATGTTTCCAGTTTTGCTTTTAAAGCCCTGAAAATCTTGCAGACTCAGCTGCTGCCACCCTTTCATTTTCCCCTCATACCCCTGGCTAAGGTGTTTTCTCTGTACTTGTTGGACCCTGACACCTCAAAGCTATTGGCCTGTGCTCCTAAAGCCAGTGCCCTTTTCCACATAAATAACATTCATTGTGTGCCTATGTTTGCAAGACTGAGGTCAATGGAATAATCTGAGAAGGGAGGATCAGGGAAAAACTATTTTTAAAGGCACTTCTGTAGGACAAATAACCATAAATTCCATCAGTGATGCATTCCAGATTGAAAACAAAACAAAACACAATACAAATCAACAGACTGAGTATTAGAATTATCCACTTTATTCCTGATTAGAGAGTAATTATTTATTACACTATAGATCTACAGTGGTATGTATGTGCTCAGCTTCAGTTCATATCAGTGAGGCCTAGAGGGTAAGAAAATCCCCATTTAAAAATGGGACTAAATGTATTGGATAATTCTTGTATTTTCACAAGTCTTGCAAGTGGAATTGTGTATTTTTTGTCCAAAGATTCTGCAACCCTATACAGAAATTTGAAAGCAGGGAATTGGTATTAAATCAAGATATAAATAATAGACATTTGTGAACACTCAATTTGTTTAAGTAGTAATGTTTCCTTCATCTGGATTCCAGTGTATACAATCTTGTCTAAGCAGCTACCTAATCTATCAATAGCTACCCCTATTGCAGTAATTTCTAAAAAAAGAATACTTTTTGCTCTGGAAGAGTTGAAAAAGACTGAAGAACTAAATATTATTTGAATACATTGTGTTAACACCAAGGACAAATTCTCTGATGTCTGCTAAAAAACATGGCCTTAGTCAATGCTAACTTTGCTTTCATTGTCCTTTCTCTTGTTCATCTGTTAAGTCACACAAATCCTGTTCTTGTATTCTCTTAGGTCGATGGTGCAAATAATCCAGAAACAAAAATCTCCAAAGATTGCAAGTATGGAATAAGATTAATATGATTTATTCAATACAAATTATTTTATATTCTACCAATCAAGTTCATTCATCTGTAGTGGAAAGCTGAGCCTGCCAGTCACCTAGTACTAATTTCATTTACAGCTTTAAATACAGAATCTATAACACATAAAGTGATAACCTATCCACACAAAAATAGAAAGATGTTATAAAGTGCAATGTCTAGTTTGCTTTTAAAAACAAAATGTTATTAGATTGCATTTATTGTCCTCCCCAGAAAACTGGAAAAACTATAGGATTTGCCATATGAGATGAAAACCTGTTTGTGTTATGTCATGTTTCTGTTTACTTCTGATACAGGTGCATTTTCCTTCTCTTGAATTGCAGAATTTCTGAAGCATCAGGGTTGACTGTGACTTGCTTGGATCCTTCCATCTCCAGTTGGTTCTGTAAAATCAAACCCAAGCAAATTGTGAGGACAGGAGGAGGTTTTAACAATTACTCTATACAGATATTTTTATATATAAAAATTGCCTCAGCTGGCAAACAAATGAGCAAAATCCGAATCACTGCTCTGCAATAAGCAAATTTTTACAGTGGAAAAGTACAACAAATGGAGGCATCCATGTAGGTTAGAATTGCACAGATCAGTGGATGCAATGTGGTCAAGACCTAATTTCTAATTGGATTACATATCTATGGATTTTCCTGGGACCATCAGATCATTATCATATACAGAACTTAAGAAGACATCGCCCACAGTCCCCACTGCCTGCATTCCTTGACCACAGTTATAATTTATTTCTTGAGCAACTTTTCAGATGGGAATGTAAATAATGAATTTGTCCTGTTTCTCTTGGGCTGGCTTACTGTTTGACTTGTGGCCAAATTCAAATCTTAAACAAAACAAGTATTTAAAGTGAAGAACTTTTTCATTATTGTAACTTAGTGCTTTCTAACTGTAGGGTCTACAAAGTCTCTGTGTGGACTTTTGGGCTCTTGTGCTGAGACACTGTAGACTGGGAGTCACCCCCGTGGAGGCAGGGAGATGGAAAACCAGGAAGATCCCATCTTGTAATTTCTTGCATCTTGGGCTGGACAGAGATGGAGGAGGCTGGAGAATTCCCCATTTGCAAAAAGCCTTCCTGAGTATGGGTGAGCCTCCCACAGCACACATCGTGCCCTTAGCAGTCTACACTCGGCCTGTCAATAGAGTTGCCAGTGGAGATTACATGGCAACACAGATGTGTCTGTCTTGCTGCAATTACGAAAAGAAGAGTTGGACAGGGCATCCCTTCCACCTCTACTTCTGTTTTCCATGGAGGTACCAGAATGCTTGGAGATTTGACAATATCCACAAGGTGAGGGAAACAAACACATCCCACAGTAAAAGCAAATCCTATCCCACAGAACTTCCTACACTCTATAGGAATTCCTCAGCCCTGAAAATGCTTACCTTTCCTAAGAGGTTCCTTCAAATTAATGTATATATTATGTTCAAATAACGGAGAGAACTGTAGACTTCAGAGAAGATTCAAAAGCATTAAACAGGACAGGTACCTGCCTGTCTTCTAGAGAGCAGAGGTGTTGGGATTTGTGAGATTGGTTTACTCTACTTACAACTGCTGGTCCATACAGAGCAGAAGCACTCTGCAGCCCCATTTCCCGAAGGTATGCCAACTCAGCAGCTCTTCTTGCCATTTCAACTTTGTAAGAACCTGGGGGAGTCCAGCCAATGCCTCTGAGCCAGTTCAAGTCAGCCTTGTATTTCACCTGAGAGAATGAAGCATACACCAGTGTCTATTTTGCTTGGCTCTAATCAAAACAAATAGACTCTCTTGCTATTCAAGAAAGGACATACATAGAGCAACAGGGTCAGTAATAAACAAATTGTTCCTTTTCAGCAAACAGACTGTAGTTCTTTCAATAATGTGATTTTGTTGAGAGGTAAGGTCTGCAAAGCACGTTGCCACAGACAGCTCCTGGCTCTGGGAGGGACAGTATCATTTAGTATACTTACATCACTCTGCAGCTCGTAGGCCTGCTTTGCATGCTTCACATTTAGATGCTCAGGCTCACAAGTGTAGTGGTGCAAAGGCTGCCTGTAGTTAACACTGCTTGCGAGCTGCTGGCTTCTCCTGGCATGGAGGAATCCCGGCTGGTTGAGGTGACTGTGGAACTGTGCCATGTTTTGGGCATATCCACTCCTGTATTGGTTGTCACTCTGGAGTTTCCCCACTCTGAGAACATGCCTGATTTTGGGATCATCATTTGCACTGAGGAATCCAATCTGCTGGCCTCTGTCTCTCAGAAAGGCTTCTCTGTATTTGTACTGCAGACAGGGAAGAGGAAAATCTCATTTTCATATGCAGATTACCTTCAAATTCTGTTATGAAATAACTTACCCTCACCTAGTTATCAATAAGGCTTCCTGTAGTGCACAATATATCTCATAATCTAACAAGACACTTTACAAGAATGCCCTTTGTGCTATTTTCTTTTTAAAGAGTGGAAAGACTTAGGGAGCCCAAAATATTCTCAAAAGCAATCACAGGTCTTTTTTTTTGCTCTTATGGGTGCACCTGAGAGCAACAAATACACAGCTCAAGAAAGGAAGCTCCTCCATCTTCAGCTTTCTTGACAACTGCGGTCTTCTGTGTTCAAAGATGACCCACTTTATTCTAGACCACACTTTAACTATTCATAGCCAAGTACCTGTTTTATTTAACTACATTATAATATTCATCCTTCCCAAGAATTACTCTTAGAAGTGAAACAGAATCGCCTGTTATTGGACATTATTAATGGGACCCTTTAGTTATAAATCTTTGCACTTAACTGGCATTTGGTTTCACTGGGTCACCAATTTTGCCAAACCAGAACAAGGTCCACTTATGTCAGAATTCACCCATTTTTACAGGGTGGGGGTGTCATGGGAAGAGGGTTGGAAAGTGCTTGAAACAGAACAATTCTTACATCACTGGCGATCTCCCTTGAAGCCTTTGCTGTCTGGAATGGGATGGCGTCAATCCTAAAATCACAGCCAGATGCCCTTGTCTGTTCCCAAGATGTTCTATACAATTTCTGTGTTGAAAAGAAAAGAACAAAAGAGTAATTCCCCCTGCAGTTTCTTAAATGCAGTCCCATAACTGCAATAATAAATGTTTTATCCTACTGAGCTTATTTGTATCAAGAGTCATCAGTACCATCTCCAAGGTTTTGATCCAGCTCTATAGCACTTCAACTTCTTTTCTACTCACCATAATGATAAAATGCCTCATCTGAAAAGTGCCACCAGGGTTTCCTTTTGTACTTGAATGTAGTTGGTTTTGATGTGATTTAATTTCTGTTAGAAACTGTGATGCATCAGTCACATCAATATTGCATTGATATTGCCCTTATTCTCTCTTTTGATGCACCCACTTGCAGTGTCTTGGGTTTCATGGCATCATAATTTCAATACCAGTTATTTCAAGCTTTTCAAATGATCCCTGTCTTTATCCCCAGCCACATGTGGCTTCATTAACTCATGCAGAATAACAGCCAGTTCTAACATATTTAATATGACTTTAAGGATGTGAAGTGCATGTACATCTTGAAGAGAAATCACTCTAGATTTGGTTCTTCTTCCATTAGTAGCTTTTAAAAAATAGCTTCCAATCTGCAGCTCCTGTTAAACAACCATGGTCTCTTAGCTGACACTTTTGAC